ACACACACACACACACACACACACACACACACACACACACACACACACACACACACACACACACACACACACACACACACACACACACACACACACAAAATAACCCAATCCAAACACGAATACAAACCAACCACCACAACCACAACAAATAACCACGCACGCATACACACACACACCTTCAAAGTAGCTGGCCATGTCCTGGTAGTTGATGTTGACGCAGCCCGACTCGATATCTCCTTCAAACAGCTCCTTGCGGCTCATGAAAAACTCCTTGAGAGCCTTGATGCGCCGCAGGTAAGGGAAGTCTGGCGAGAACTCTTCGTGCGGGAAATACAGGTACCAGCCGATGCACTGAGGATCATGAACGCGCCGACGCGGCGGCAGTGAGGCTGATGGCATTGGCCCCGTTCCACTCCCGGCCCCTGCCGTGCCTGGAAGGTGTCCTCCGCGTCCATCAAAGCTGTTGGAGTAGTCCTGGGTTGTTGGGATGCCGAGCGGTGTCGCTGGCACGCTGTAGTCATCGTCGACTTCCGGCGGCGCCATGCCCGCCTCAAACCCTTGAAACAAGCCACCACCACCACCACCACCACCGTCATCACCTTGGCTGCCACCTCCTCTCCCCCTCCCTCTCCCTCTCCCTCTTCCTCTCCCTCTCCCTCCCCCTCTCCCTCTCCCTCTCCCTCTCCCGCCACCTCTGCCCCATCCGCTTCCTCTTCCACCTCGTCCCCGCCAACCCCGCGCCATATCCGACCACAAACACGTTTCAACAGTTTCGCGCCGCAGCTGTCCACGACACCATAAAAGCACAACTTGATGACAACCGTTCCGCCTTTTCTTTGCTTGTTGATGATTCACAACGCATTCACGGCGCACAGCCAGCAAAGCAAAGCAAGCACAAAGACAGACACAGAGAGAGACAGCGAGACCGGCACTCCTCCACGAATCCGCCAGGGCTGCATCGACTCTCTCGCGGTGTGTGTCCGCTTGCTCTGCGCTTCCTTCCATCTATCTCTTGGTTGAGTGTTTGTTTGTTTGTTGTCCCCATTTGAGCTGAGTGGTGGTGTTTGAGGGGGGTCGACATCAAATCACATCACACCAAAAATCAACAACCACAACGAATGTATTCTTCGTGCGTGTGGACAAAGGAAATCATCTTCCGACAGAAGGTGCCGACGCGCCAAACAGATCCAACTCACCTGTCACAGCCATCTGCCCTGCTTCAGATTCCGTGCTCAACGCGTTACAGCAGTTAAGAACAAGCCTGTAGACCCAACACCAACACCACCATGGGTGGAAAGAGCTCTCGGCTCGTCACCGTCGAGCAAGCAAAGGAACTGCGTACGTCCTGTGGTTGTTTGCGTGATTGCGTTTGTTTGTGTATGTCTGTGCATGTGCATGTGCAATTGTTTGTGCTCATCTGCTTGCCTCTGTGTGCCTGTATGTGCCTGCGTCTCTACCTGTGTGCGTGTGTTTGTTGTGCGATTCCCTGCGCACTCCTTTCTTGTGCGCTCATGTCCATGCACGCCTGTCCTGTTGCAGTTGGGCCGGAGCAAGAGCAACACATTCGTGATGCCTGGACACAGCTGCGTGGCAGCACCTCCCAAACCCTCGACGCCAACTCGGCCATCCGACTCCTCTTCCCGTACATGCCACGCGTCTTTCAAGAGGTAAAGACTCCGTGAGTGAATGTGTGTGTCTGTGTGTCTGTACTTGTGTGTGTCTGTACTTGTGTGCGTGTGTGTGTGTGTGTGTGTGTGTGTGTGTGTGTGTGTGTGTGTGTGTGTGTGTGTGTGTGTGTGTGTGTCGCATGCGCTCATTCACCTGCCTGCCTACCTGCCTGCCTGCCTGCGTGTGCGTGTGTCTGTGCTTTTTCACTTGCTCACGCGTGTGTGCTTACAACGTTGGCCTTGCGTGACGTAACAGCGGTTCTTCAAAGCGCTCGGCGGCACCAACCGCGGCATCGCCTTCAAGGACGCCCTGTGCGGCCTGGCCGTGCTCTTGACCACACACATCGACCTGCGCGCCCGCTGTAAGTGCTGCCATCATCGCCCTTTCCTCGCGTGATATCACATGACACCATGTTTGCACGCGCTGGTGACATGTGCACATGCGCATGTGCGCCGTGATCGCACCCATCAATCAACACCCGCGCGCGTGTGCCGCCGCCACCACCACGCCTTCAACTCACCTTCTTCGCCCCACATTACCTCCACTACGTTCCACCATACCAGTCATCTTCCAGGTGTACGACACAATGGACGTGGGTGTGCTCACGGCCGCGTCGTTCCGGCGCACTGCGCTCACCAGCGATCCAGAGCTGCCCCGCCCCTTTCGCGACTACTTTGCCACCAAGGTGTGCGTGTGTGTGTGTGTGTGTGTGTTGTGTGCGTGTGTGCGTGTGTTGTGTGTGTGTATCTGTCTGTCTGTCTGTCTGTCTGTGTGTCTGTGTGTCTGTCTATGTTTCTGGTCGTGACAATGTCTGCCACCACTCACGCTCACCGCACACCTCACGCCCCACACTTCACGCCAGTCGCCCGAGCTGCCCTTTTCGGAGTTTCTGGCGATTGCGAAGTTGTACCCGGACTGCTGTTCGCTCATCGCTTGGATCTTTCGCACAGAGCAGCAGCCGCATCCGCACATCCCAACCTACCACGAGACACTCACCACCATCTCGACATGTACGCAACACGCTGCACTGCTGCACGACTTTTGTGGGGGAGTGTGTTTTCTCAGATCCACTGTCCCCTTGGCTCCACACACACACACACACACACACACACACACACACACACACACTCACTCACTCACTCACTCATGCAGATGTTCCATATACCTGGTCGTGGTCGGACATAAAGGCAAGTCAGTTCTAGATATACAGAATGCCGCCTAGCAGAATTGGAGATGGCATGCGCTTATAGCTAATGCGAGTGATCCCGTTAACGCAGCCACCTCGCCGGGCAATCGCGCGCCGATTGCTTATGGAAGGACCGGGCGAGATTACTCCTGATCGTCTCTACCGGATCGGAGTCAGTTGATCGATGCCGTCCGAGAGCCTGGGACATGACGGCTGCACTACAGCGCTGGGAGACAGTGACTGAAGACTAGCTGCCTGACTGGCCCCGGGCAGTTGGTGGAATCGGCCGCGCAATGTGACTCATATAATCGGCCACTTGAACCCCACCGTATAATAAGCAAACTCAGGGAGGAATTCGCGGTATAAGTCAGAGAATGGTTTCGAGCCGTCGGGTCAGCACCCTTGGTGGCAGGCGACACACACACACACACACACACACACACACACACACACACCATACACACACACCATACACACACACCATACACACACACACACAATACACACAATACACACAACACACAATACACGCTGCCCGTGCAGTCATGTGGGCGATGTACCGCCCGCGGGTGAAGGTGCGCAGCAGCACGGCACGGCGCACCACCACCAGCAGTGACGATGAAGACGGTGATGGTGCAACACCACGATCACCACGACTGTCGTCAACAGCAGCAACAACGCCAATGTCAGCTGCAACACCACACAGCGCCAGCACCACCACCACCACCGCCAGCACACGTTTCAGCTACAGTGACCGTGACGAAACCATGACCACCGCCACCACCAGCAGCAGCAGCGGTAGCACAAGCACGGACACGCTCAACGATGATGATGAAGGTGGTGGTGGTGGTGGTGAAGAAGAGGGGGAGGAGCAACAGGATCACATGGGTGCGGGTGCGCTGGCGGTGTTGCTACGCGATGCACACGCCCTGCACGCAACAGCGACGGCACCACAGAAGCCAGCCGTCACGCTGCTGACGGATGTGGCGCAGCTGGCGTTTGAGAGCGCACGCGCGAGCAGGCTTGCATCTGTGCAGACGCTGGACGGCGAGGAGGGTGCAACACCAACACCAACACCAACACCAACACCGGCAGCGTCCACTTCAGAGTCGTCGTCATCATTGGCGGTGGTCAGCGAAGGTGGTGGTGATGATGTGGAGGAGGAAGATGTGTTTGAGGATGACAACACAGGTGGTGATGCTGACGGAAACAAGCGTGGTGGCGAGACCACGGGCAACAGCCGCAGGGCCAGCGCGACTGCGATACGAAAGAGCACAAGCAGCCGCCCACGGCGCACAACCACCCGTGGTAGTGATGGTGGTGGTGATGGCATGACGGATGACGAGTTGCACACGTTCACAGCAAAGGCCGAGCAAATTCTCTCGGAGCATGCGAGCGGGGGTCCCCTGGTCGGGTTCACGGCGCGGGAGTTTGTGGCGTGGTGGCCTGTTGCGGAGTGTGCGCGCGCCATGCGCGCTGCCCTTGAAGAGCTTCTGCATCTGGTCTTCCTCGCCACGCCGCAGTCACCGGAACTCGAGGGCAGGCTCATCCACAGGCGGCTGCAGCGCGACAGGTGGGCAAGAGAGTGGTGCTGCTGGTGCTGCTGGTGGGTTGAGTGAGTGGTTGTTCATCTGTTTGGTCGTTCGTTTGCTGCCTCGGTTTTGTGTATATTGCCCGTTGCTTGGTTCTAGTTTGTATCACGCACACTCACACACACACACGCGCGCTCACTCACACTATCACAAACGCGCATACGCCCACACGCACACTCACACAACTTACCCACTCACACACACTATCACAAACGCGCATACGCCCACACGCACACTCACACAACTTACCCACTCACACACACTATCACAAACGCGCATACGCCCACACCTACACTCACACAACTTACTCACTCACTCACACTGTCACAAACGCGCATACGCGCACACCAACACACACTATGACGCTATCACACACTATCACTCACACGCACACACATTCCCCTCCCCTCCCAGACTGCTTGGCTTCCCCGCCATTGCCGGCGCCACGTGCTATCTGGTGAACGCGTCGTGGTTCCATGCGTGGCGCGCGCGCGTGGGCATCTCCCGTGACCTGCAGCACCTGCACTCGCCGCGCCTCGACCTCCCTCCCTGCAAGGAAATCAACAACGACGCCCTGTGTGTGCCCGGCAACCTCCGTCGTGGCGCCTCCACGCGCCTACGCCCGCACCTCACCCAGGGTGTCGACTATGTGCTCGTCTCCGAGCCCGTGTGGACGGCGCTCTCGCACTGGCACGGCGGCGGACCAACGCTGCAGCGGCCCGTGTGTCGCATGCAGGATGGCACCGTGCAGCCAGACATCTACCCGCTCGTGCTCCGTGTGATGCAGCACCAGGGGCCGGGCCTCAAGGCGAGCATCCTTCGCTTCTTTGGCGGCAGCGACCCCGCTGAGACAAAGGCGCCGCAGATTGCGTTTGGGTTTGCCATTGACGCGTTTCGCACGACGACGTGCAAGCGCCTGCTGAAGAGCGTGTGCCACATGCTGGGCACGGTGCCCAACGGCGTGCGCGGGGTGACGCCGGACCAGGCGCGCCTGTGGGACTACCGCAGCCCGCGCAAACCCACGCTGCTGACCAACGACGACGCGACGCTGCTTGACCTGCACTTTGGCAACAACGACGAGATCCTGCTTGAGTTGCGCAACACGGACCTGAGCTGGCCGTCAGAGATCCTCGCCGTGGCAAAGGCGAACCAGCACGCGGCCGGCGGAGAGACGCTTGTGGACGTGGCCATGGATACAGAGGGCGGCGCTCCCAGCGTGGCGGCGGCAACGGCGTCGCCGTCGTCAGCGACAACACGCAGGCAGCGGCGAGCGAGCAGCAATCGCAACCACCACCACCACCACCACCACCACGACGCGCAAACTGGCCGCAGCAGCGACAGCACAAGTGGTAGTGGCCGGTTGCGGAAGAAAGGCAGGACGGAAGCAGCAGCAGCATCATCATCATCACCAGCGTCGTCATCACCATCACGTGGCCGTGGTGATGACGATACAGACAGCAGCAGCAGCAGCGAGAAGGAGGTGGTTGTGCATGGGCGTGCCGGTCTGAGCAACCTGGGCAACACATGCTTCCTCAACTCCGCTGTGCAGTGTCTGGTGCACACGCGCCCGCTCACGGAATATTTCCTGCGGCGGCAACACGTGCTTGAGCTGAACAAGGCCAACCCGCTCGGCCACCAGGGCGTGATTGCGTCAGAGTACGGGCGCCTGGTGTCGCGCCTGTGGAATGGCAAGGGCTGTGTCGCTCCCGTGAAACTTCGCAGCGCCGTGCAGAAGTTTGCGCCGCATTTTGCCGGCTATCAGCAGCACGACTCGCAGGAGTTTTTGTCCTTTCTGCTCGACGGCCTGCACGAGGACCTGAACCGCGTGATGAAGAAGCCGTACGTGGAGCGGAAGGACAGCAACGGACGGCCAGACCGCGTTGTTGCGCGCGAGGCGTGGGAGGGGCACCTCTTGCGCAATCGCAGCGTCATCGTGGACATGTTTCAGGGCTTGCTCAAGTCGCGGCTGCGCTGCCAGACGTGCAAGACAACGAGCGTGGCGTTTGACCCGTACTCGTTCCTCTCCCTGCCGCTGCCGACGGAGGGGCGGTCTGTGGTGGAGATCAAGCTGCACCGGCTGAGCGGCAAGGCGCCGCGCCTGTACTCCATTGCCCTCAAGACGGAGGAAACATACCGAACCATCCGTGAAGCCCTGGGAAAGTTGGCGGGCCTGCACCCAATGGCGATTGTGTTTGTGGACGCAGCCAACTCGCGCATACAGCGCGTGCTGAGCGTGTCCGAGAAGCACCGACCGTCGATGGGCATGTATCTCACCGCATACGAGATTGACGTACGCGCAACGCAGGTTGCGGTCAGGCAGCAGCAGCAGCAGCAACAGGAGGAGGAACAACAACAGCAGCAGCAGCAGCAGCGGGGGCAAGGTGGGCTGGGGGCGACAGCTGTGGAGAAGGTGCCACGCGTGGATGACGATGGTGATGATGGCGATGACGATGACGATGACGATGACAACGAGCAAGGAAACGGCAACGGTGGCGTTGGCGGTGATGGCGTTGGCGGTGATGGCGTTGGCGGTGATGGCGTTGGCAGTGATGGCGTTGGCAGTGATGGCGTTGGCGGTGATGGCGTTGGCGGTGATGGCGTTGGCGGTGATGGGGATGTGGCGACAGTGAATGCAGGGCAGCACACGCCAGCAGCGACAAATGGTGGCACTGGCACAAACAGTCCAGGCCAGCAACAACAACAACTGAAACAACAACAACAACAACAACAACAACAACAACAACAACAACAACAACAACAACAACAACAACAACAGCCCGCGCCGCCTCTGCCTCCGCCACAGCGCGTTGTTCCCGGTCATTTTGTACGTTGTTGTTGTTGTTGTTGTTGTTGTTGTTGTTGTTGTTGTTGTTGTTGTTGTTGTTGTTGTTGTTGTTGTGGTTGTGGTTGTTTAAGTCGTTGTTGTTGTTGTTGTTGTGGTTGTTTAAGTCGTTGTTTAAGTCGTTGCGATGAATGCAGGCGTGCATTGCCGCCGTCACGCGTTGCATGGTGTTCTTTCGGTTCCCCTTGCGTTCCCCCTCCCTCTTCCCTCCT